TTAATTTACCACGCAACGTGGTGCAGCGTGCCACGAGTTGCCTGCCGTGCAGGGGGATCATGTCCCTGTCCAACCCCTTATCCCATGGGTTGTTGAAGGACTTTGGCAAACTCTCGCAGTTGAAACAACCAGGACTGATTCTTGACCGTCACTTCGAGACGACAAATGCACATGTGAAGGCGGGCAACTCCGTTGCGAAGGAGCGATGGGACGCAATCGAGAACGCATGGGGGCTGAAGCAGACGGGTGTCTTCAACGAAGAAGAGTGGATCACGCAGATTGATGGAGAGGCCCAGGGTATTACCAGCAGCACCCGTCCGTCGTTTTTAACGCCACAAGATGCGGGCGGCGCGCGAGGTGCACCGTCTTCGCACCCACCGCCTGCTACTGCTGCGGCTGCCGGGAAGAGAAAGGTCGCAGATCGGGGGAAGCAAGCCAGGGATCGAGCTGCCCAAGGTGTTCTAGGTGGCAACATCATCAACGCGTTCGCTCGTGGCAGCGGAAAACCGGTGAGTTCAGTCATCTGACGAACTCTGTTGCTGTGATGATGTACATATATACAGCAGTCGTACGGCGGTCCAGCAGCTGTATGTAGTGAAAATACAGCAGGAGTGCTACTGCTGCTGCTGTTGCTTAAAAAAAAACGCGGTGGTGATGAAAAGAAAAAGACGAGAGAAAAACTACTCTGTCACAGGTTGGTATAAACGACTGACTTTCAGCATGGCGTACATGTATGTGTACAACTTTTTCAAACATTCTCCGTTTGCCTCAAGTTCTTGAGGAAGGCAAGGACGGTACAGTAGACACAATGGCGAAAAAGAACGCGTACACGAGCGCCGTCCCAACCGTATTTTGTAAAAAAAAAATTGCTGCACCGTGATCCAAACACACGAGAGACGGTCATGTAATCATCCCCCGCCCCATCTTCATAGATAGATATATTTTGCCATCAACATCCACGCAATTTCAGGTCCACAGCTCGTTCAATCACCTGCACCTCAATTCCGCCCTTCTCCTACCGCGCCGTGCAGATTGAGCAGACTCGCGGTGGTGTCACAGAGCATGTGTCCGGTATCAACTTCCCACCTCCGGCCCCGGAGCGGCGCCTACCGTGCCCTCACTGTCCCATGACCTTCGTGAACGAGCAAGGACTTGGGATGCACGTGAAAACACAGCACAGCAATGCAAACATGTCCAACGGCTTGCGGCTGCAGCGGATGCTAGGGAAGACTCCCAAAGGGGATGTTCAGCCTTGGGAAGAAGCCGGGCCTGGACTTTGTTGGCACGTGAAGGTCGATGGTGCGACGGGGGCGGGTTCGTTCGTCCTCCAACGGAAGCACTTCCGCGATCTCGACTTGGAAAGCGACTGCTTTACGGACCGCAAAGTCAAGCAGACTCGTGGAGCTGTGAAGCGCAAGCGATACGATTCAGGTTCAAAGCCCATGTTGTGACCCAGCTGCGCCTCCTCCAGGAAGACGCCGCAGACCTCTTCAAGGAGGAGCAGCTCACGCCTCTCCAGTACTTAGAGGACCGTGGAGGGAGAGTCCAGAGATCCCAAGTACGGTCAGTTCCAGCTCTGGGAGCGTTGGAACGTGGATCAAGTGCCTTTGCCATTCGTGAACGGGCTGATCAGCACGTGAGAGAAGACAGGCGCGTTGCGTGCAGCCATCTCGCAGCCCTTTGCTGGCCTAGAGAAAAGGAAGTGCACCATGCAAGTCATCTTTGGTCCGGGTGAGAAGACTATGCGGATTTCGGTGATTTTCCGAGGCCAGGGGAAGCGGATTTCGCCGGTGGAGAAAGCCGCGTACCACAAGGACGTGGACGTGTTTTTCCAGGAGAATGCGTGGGCGGACCAAAAGTTCTGCATGGAGTGGGCCAAGAGGTCGTACCGCGAAGGCCTGATCCGCGGGCGGGGTGAGCTCCCCAAGGCGAGGTCCATTCTGATAATGGACAACTTGCACGCGCAGACCACGGACGAGTTCAAGGGGTATCTTGCGAAGCAGTGCAACACTATCGCCTGGCTTGGCCCTGCGGAGTGCACGGACGAGGTGCAGCCAGTTGATGCAGGAGCCGGACGATTTCTCAAGGTGGAAGTTGGTAACGAGATGGACAAGTGGCTCGATCAGTCGGACAACATCGAGAGGTGGGAAACCGCGTCGCTGACAGCATCTGACCGGCGCGTACTGATCACTCAATGGACGGGAGCGGCCATGGCAAAACTCAACAGCAATCAGGGGTACCGACACCGCCTTTTCGAAAAGTGCGGGATGGCGATGACCGTGGACGGCTCAGGCGATGATCGAATCACCTTGGAGGGTTTGGACCAGCCGTACACCTTCGCAAACGATGAAGACTCCAGCGAGAACGAAGGAGGTTCGGAGGACGGCAGCGATGGGCCCGAGGGGCGGGAGGAGGAGGGCGCCGGCAGGCGCGAGCCGGTCGTCGGGGATGAGCGCAACGGTGCCAACAGCGGGGAGGGCATGGAGGGCGCTGGATACAGCGATGAAGACGACGACAGTAAGTTTGATTGGCACTACATAGACTACAGTGAATTCATTGTCCTTTTTGTTCATCTTTTCTTGTGCTGTTTGGGATATTGCTGATATTCTGTTTCCGCGTCACGTCTACGAACAAATGGTGTGTTCACTTCAGTTGAGTAACGGCGATGACACCCGTACGTTCCTTCTCGTGTTTCACGGTACCCTTCGTCGCAGACATGTCTCATTCCCAGACCGACGAGCTAGCTCTTTTGGACGAGGACGACAGCATGGACCCAGACGGCCCGGAGGACGAGACGCAGGGAATGGAGATCCCGGCGGGCTTTCGTCTTCAAGAATCTACCCCCGCTGCTCTTGACAGAATGCTTTTGCAACGTGAAGTGCTTGTTCGGCTGGGCATGGGGTGGTTCGGTGGGTTGATC